ATTATTTTATTTAAAAAATACTAAATACAATTAAATTTTCCAGGCAAATTTGCCTAGAATACAGTTTAAGGGATAAGGTATTAAAGAATCTATTTTTGATGGTTCACGCTTTCTTTTTGGATTGTTTGAAGGGAGTGGATTCTTTATAATAGTAGGATTTTTGACAACTATATCTTGTTCTTCTGTTACCTCTTCTTGAGGTACTCTAACCACCTTATATAGCCTATTTTCCTATTTTGGGTTTGCCAGATGTTTGTGATTTTTTGAGGGGTAATATTATTACTATATATACTTCTTTCTTATTGTTTTCTAACTTACAAAAACTAATAGTTTTTGTTTGATTAAAATTGTCTTTTCTTTTCTTTATCTAGGATATGGATATTTTGATTTTTTTAATATACAATTTTTTGTGTATATTCTAGTTCACCACATTTCTGATATTCTATACTCTCTCTTCTTTCTCATCTATAATTATATTAAGACTGTCCTCTATAGAAATTATCACGTAGTCGACTGATTTTTGTATCCTTTAATTGAGCAGATAAGATCATATAATTTAATGCTAAACCTTCAATTCTTTTCTTTATATCACTTAACTTGCTTCCTACTTGTCACTATACTTGTTCAGATAGTTTTTGGCCATAATAACCTCCCGCTTCAACTCTTCTTGCGGTCGTGATTGCTTTAGTTAAGTCTTTTGGAGCAGCTACTACTATGAAAGTAGCATTATTTCCTTTTAATCTATTTAGAAATATTTATACTATGTATCTATCTGAAAACTCATTATTCATATTAACTCTACCGAGTAACTTTTTGAACTTGGTAGCATAGGTATCCAATTTTTCAGATTCCTTTTGTCGTAACTCATAGAGTTTGATTTGCCAACGATATTGATATTCTTCAGAAGCGAATTGCTCTACAAACAAATAGTAGAAACTTTTGTCTTGTTTCTTTTTATCCTTTTTATTTCAATATTTAATGTCTCCTTTAATCTCCTTGTACTATTCAGCAACCATTTCTTTGAAGTATCCTATCGTGATTTTTAGCTTATGTTTCTTGACCTAATTGTTGGCTTCGGCAGTCCTCTTGAACTTATCGAACTATTCAAAAAGATCTTTATCATTGGTACTATAAAAAGACTTGATCTTCACAAAGTTATTTTCCTTTGTTGATCCTTTACTCTCATCCTTATTAACAGCTTTAGTTATTAATTCCATGAACTGTTGAAATTGGTCATTATTCATTATTAATATTATGCTTGGTTTATAGTTATGAAGTCAGAATTTTATAGTCATCACCAAATATTACAGGGTGAATCATAGGTTTAATTAGTTTATACACGAAAGTATAGAATTTATATGATATAAGGCATTCATTTGCCAGAGGCGTAACGATAGTGATTTGATAATAATTTAATTTATTAAATGAGTTTGACCAGGTGATTTATTAAAGGTATTAGAAAGAGATTATTAGAATCCTGTAGGATGATGTCTTTTAAAAAGAGCAAAATGCTAGAGTTTTTATAGCTTTAGTGAATATAAAAGATTCAAAGGCTTAGAGATGACTCACATATTATATTGTTAATAAATTAAAGAAAACTAGTTCTAAGATAAGGAGCTTACAATAATAAATTGTAACATTATTATTATAAAAGAAAAGCTTTGCTTCGCTCAATATAATTATTTGCTTTACAGCCACTTCAACTATATCTAAATCTTGTTTAAGGTTTTTGTTTCTGTAATGCTTTTAATATTTCATTCTTTGCTTTTAATTTCTTCTTCTTTTCTCTT